TATCTCATAGGGCTGCAGAGAGAATTAAATAACAGTGCCGACAGAGAGCTTAGTGCTGGTCCAGACGCCTAATAGGGCTCTAATAAATGTTTGAAATAAATGTTAGAAAATCTATTGAGCACATTTATATGTTTCGTTAAAGAAAACATCAAAGGTCCTGTAGTCTTGTGGGGACTACATCCCGTTCTAAGCAGCGCTTGAAAGAGTCCTGTTACTGCATCCTTACTCCCACAGCTTGTTATATAAACCCTCACTGTCCCACGGAGCCACAATGGCCAGTCCCCAGTGAATCTTCATGGCTGATGGCCCTGGCTGAGCAGACCTGCCCTTTTGTTGTACTGTTCCCCTTCCTAAAATGTTTTTCTTTCTCTCCTCTGCGTATCTTTATAAAGCAGAATTTTAAATCTTTTTCCTTAAGAAAAACCTTTCCAAAGTCAGACATTTTCCTCTAAATCATCTTAACCATGATATATTAGTTGTTCCCCCTTGTCCTCAAGGATATGTTCCAAGACCCCCAGTGGATGCCCGAAACGTCAGGTAGTACTGAATCCTCTATATACTCTGTTTTTTTCTATCAAACACACCTATGATAAAGTTTAATTTATAAATTAGGCACAGTAGGAGATTAACAACCACAATAACTAATAATAAAATAGAACAATTGTAACAACATATTATAATAAAAGTTAAGTGAATATGGCATTATTAAGTAAAATAAAGGTTACTTGAACACAAGCACTGTGCTAGTGCCTCTATATACTCTGTTTTTTTCTATCAAACACACCTATGATAAAGTTTAATTTATAAATTAGGCACAGTAGGAGATTAACAACCACAATAACTAATAATAAAATAGAACAATTGTAACAACATATTATAATAAAAGTTAAGTGAATATGGCATTATTAAGTAAAATAACGGTTACTTGAGCACAAGCACTGTGCTAGTGAAACAATTTATCTGATAACCAAGATGGCTAAGTGGCTAATGAGCAGGGAGTGCAGATGGCATGGGGACGTGGGACAAAGGGCTGGCTAATGTCCGGGAGGGCAGGGAAAGGCGGGACGCCATTTCGTCATGCTGCTCAGAACGCTGCACAATCTAAAACTTAGGAATTGTTTATTTTAGGAATTTTTCATTTAATACTTTTGTCTACTGTTGACTGCGAGTAACTGAAACCACAGAAAGTGAAACTATGAATAAGGGAGACAGACTACTGACTGTAGTTTCAATTCGCTAAGCCCTTTGTGGAATTCTACCCTGGTATTGTCTGGGGCACAAGCTGTCCCTGCCCACAAGGAACTTATAAAGTAGTTGCAAATGTTTGCATAATAAATATAAGTTATTTTTATGATATTAGATTATTGTATGGGCTGAGATAAAACATGGGCAAATATATTTCGAAGCTGGTCATTTATATTTTTACAAAGTCCCCTGACACATTGCGAATAGCTCCTGAGACAAATGTAGTCCTGACTCCTAAACACAATGATTTGCTCTACGGTTAATTTTCATTCATGAATTATTTTTGTCTCCCCTCTTCATCATCATTATCATCATCATCTTCTAGTCCCACAATTAACCCATTCTTTCAAAAAGGTTTCATTGACCATTCGAAGGACAGTGGCAGCCAACACTAAGGGGTGTGGTTCCGTGTTCTATAAACAGTAGGTGTTTAATAAATGATAGTCACTACTTTATATTTTTTAACTTGTCCACAGATATTCTCCAAAAAGAAGAGAGACAGTAGGTTTGACAAAAAGAAATCTAATTAATCTATTTGGGCTTTTAGGAAGCTCAGTGATAGGTAGATGGGAAAGAAGGCAAAGAAGAGAGTGAAAGCTGGTAGGGGGGAAGGACCTGGAGAGGAGAACGAATCGGACCTTCCCCTGCTGGGAAGCCAGATGCTTTATGTGAATCCTTTCAACTAATCTCTGCAAATGAGGTATTATTAACCAGTTCCATCTTATCAGTAGAGAAACTGAGGCTCAGGAAAGTCAAGTATCTTGCTCAACTGGTTCCAAACCAGCTTTTGTGATTTGAAAGCCTGTGACAGGCCCATGGCTCTCCCCTACAGGAGGCTGCCTCCTGGACAGTGGGCAGGCAGAGGACAGAGAAAACACTAAGAGAAGACAGTCCCAGGTATAGCTCCAGATGCTGACATTGGCACCTACTGGACCCGCAGGTGGCATTTGAGAGCCAAGTTCCACAGGCCCCACATTTCAGCTGGTTCCCTTGCTCAGACTGCTCACACGGCACCAGGTCCCTGGGGCCACTATGCCCACTGACCTCAGAGCCCTCTCCAGACCCAGGCTAGGCTCTCATCCTGCGCCCGCTCTCACTCGCCCATCTAGTCTTGGCTTCCGTGCTCCTGTAGCTTCCAAAGGAGCACTACCAAGCCTGGCGAGCTTTGCCACAGAAAGAGAAGAGTCAGATGTGGCCAGTGTCTGGGTAGCACATCATTAATTAATTCGTCATATGGCTGTTGGCATAGTAATCCTAGCTGGCATGTGCTGACCACACAGTATGCATTTTGTAACCCTCACAGCGCCGTCATGTGTTAGGTTGATACTGTTATCATTCTCTTCTTACAAATGAAGAAACAGGGGCTTAGTGAGACCAATTAAACTGCACAATGAAAAGGTGCTCAGCCTCATTAGCACTTGAGAAAATGCAAATTGAAACTCCAATAAGATGCCTTTCCTATTGAAAAGATTGGCAAAATTAACTAATCAGACAAGATCTAATGTTGGTTAGAATGTGGAGCAATGGAAACTCTTACACTATGTTACTGAGGGCAGAACTTTCCACTTAGGAGAACAATTTGCCAGGAGCTAAGTAAGAAGAGAATATGCACGTTTTAGGGCCCGTCAGTCTTTCTCCTCTCTGCAGAGGGTGTGTAACCTGGAGTGGCTCTCACAGTGTGCACAAGGAAGCCTGTGCAAAAATGCTTATAGCAGCGTCATTTGTGATAGCAAGACAGTTGGGAACAAACTCAATGCCTATCAACAGGAAAATGGGTAAATAGATTGTGCATGGCTATATGATGGAATATTACATAGCAATGAAAAGAATGAGATTTAGACCTGTCAGAACAAATAACTCCCAAACACCTTGATTGCAAAAAACAGGAATCAAAACAATACATACTAAAAGCAACAAACAAAAACCCAATACATACTATATAATGTTTTTATAGATTTAACCACAGACAATGAAATGTTTAGACATATGTACACATATAGAAAAGGTACAAAAGATGTGCACGGGGCTAAAACACCAGATTTGGGACACTGGTTCCTCTGGGGGAGGAAGAGGAAAGGAAGAAAGAAGAACATAAGACACCTCAACAGTATTGGTAGTTTTATTTCTTAAACGGAATGATAGGTACCTAGGTGTGATTATGGGTTTTGTTTTGTTTTTTCATTTTGTCTGTTGTAATAAGCTCACAACATATTTTAATTTAAAAAATTACTCAAGGCCTCACAGTTAGTAAACAGAAGTTTAAAGCCCACATATTTTTTGTTTCCCAGTACGTCACACTGCCCATTGGACGAAGTAGGCAATGGAAGATGAATTTGAAGAAAGAATGCTGCTCCTTCCATCTGTTCTTCATACAGACCTTGAAAATGCAATCGTATCATGTCAAAGGGGTTTTACTTTGTATACCAGAGGCAATCCCCAAAAAACATGGTATAAAATATTAACAGCTTGAATCATGTTTTCCTATTGCTTTAGGTTATTATTTAGAACTATGTTTCTGCAAAATATTTGCCACGAAGCCTAATAAAAGCAATAAAGGGATCCTCTTAATCATTTCAAAAGACTTTGTTGATGCAGAATCCTACAGCTATTTCATTCCCCCAAACAGATCTATCAAAATGATAATGAATCTACATTCTTTATTTAAAGCACCTTTACACCAAAACGCTCCACAAAATTTGTTCCTATTTTTGTTGAGAATGCTCACTAATTTCATCTATATCGATTTAGGAACTTAGTAGGAAGTCCTTCATCTCCTCCTTTATTTAAAAATGAAATATCCATTGCATGCCCATTGATTGCCAGGCAGTTAGCTAGATGCTGGGGAAATAACAGTGAACCAGATAGGCCCTGACTCGCGTGAGCTTTCAGTTTCCTGGAGGAGACAACAAGTAACACAGGTAATTATTATGCAATGAGATATGGGGCTATGATGGGGTATATGCTGAGCCCTGTTACGGAGGAACATAAAAGTGGGACCTAACCCTGTCATCTTGGATCTGGAAAAGCTTCTGAAAGGGGCTGATATTTCAGCTGAATACTTACAGATGAATGAGAATTGGCTTATAAATAAGAAAGCGATTTAATTATTTTTTCCCCAGAGGATTCATCTTATTGTGGAGTTTCTATTGTCAACTAAAATGGAGGAGAAAAGTAACAAAATATTTTAAGGTATCTCTTTCCTGAACAAAAAGACTTATAGTTCTTCTTTATATATAGTTCACTGTCTTTTCTTTGTGTTCAATACAAATTACAATTGAGTAAACTGGATTCTAACTACCCTTTGTCAAATATGTGAATACAACTCTGATCATAAGTCAGGGGTAGATGTACCTGCAATGAGAGCATAATTACCCTGAGTTTTACCTGATCCACATTGTAAAAATCCCTCTTGACCTGGTCACCTAGGAGGAAATACAGAAGCTCAGCTTTTCTGCATACACAGAAGGATCCCAAGACAGCCAGGGGGAGACGGGATCTCACTGCAGTATCTTTCAGCCATGTTGATTCCATTAAGTCTCTCAAATCCTGCATTCTCATCACTGTGATTGGATAATTTGCCTAGGAGTTATCCTAAGGTTGAATATCCAATTTCATTACATGGGGTGTGCTGAAGGACCTGATTTCTAGAGTTGCTGAGGCACATGTCACACAGGAAATGATGCTTTGGAATCAAAACCAACCTCCCAGGGTCCCAATCCTACTAGTTGGAAGAAGACACATGTAACTCAGATGATAAGGTATATAATGAAGATCTAAATGTTTATTAATTACAATAGGGTATAAAATCACAGAGTTTGCTATTTTAAACAAATGCCGTCATTAAAAAAACTCTAAACAAAAAAGTGATTTTTAAAAATTCAAGGTAAGAAATCGGGTACAAGCAAAGATGACATTCTAAAGTATCATCAATGAATTTTCACACAGACTTTCCATCACAATAATATTCATTTACATCTTCAGTCTTACACAGCAGCAAAGTCAGAGTGAGAATGACGGCAGTTGTTTCTGAAAGGAAATCAAAGAGGCCTAGAGCGATTATTTTTTCAAACGGATCTTGGAGAGTTGAAATAAGGCCTGCTTCTCAGGGCTCACAACATTTAGCTGTGATGGGAACAGCAGATCCTTTTCTCTGACTTTGCTTTTGAAAAGAATTAAAGGAACGCAGTGTAACATTCCCTCTCACAAACAGATGCAGAACTCAAGCCTAACCCTTAAGAAGTGCTATAATCAAAGTAAACAATAATCCTGCTCCTGCAAATGCTGTGAAAAGCATGTTAGAGCTTTCAATAGAATTTCTTCCTCTTGCTAATCTTTCTTTGAATTTTTAACACAATCTTCCTGGATTGCAAGAATAATTCCAATAATCAGGAAATGACAACAAAGCTGAAACTTTTGTCTATGTGGCATGGATAAAGACAACTCTCAATAAGGCAAACACAGCACATAGTGCACAAAGCTTCGTCATTCAAGTTGTGGGTTTATAGAGGAGAACACAGGCTATCATAATGTGAAAATATGCAATGCCTACCTGGGTATATATGACACTAGTCCTCTGACAAACAGTGTCCCCAATTAACACAAACATCTATCCATCATGTCAACCTTTATGTAAGTTATTTGCAGATTGCTCTGCTTTGAAACATCTGAAAATGTATCACATATTTAAAAAATTTAGAGTCTACCGAAATGGCAAAACTGACAAAACGTGTAGATTTCATGAAGTCAGTGGAGGTGATGTTAGAGAGATGTTTAAATCACAGCAAAGCCACTTTCAAATAGGCATCTGGCAGAACAGGACCAGAAAACAACTGGGAAAAAAAAAAAAAAAAAGAAGTAAAGAAAAAGAAAATTACTTCAAAAAAGTACTTCAAAAAAGAAAGATCTAAATGCCAAAATACTAAGAGAAAATTGATGAAGCACTCAAATATTTTTCAAAGACGATCACGTCTATAATATTATTCCAAAAGTTAAGTGTTAAATAAGTGCATCAAATACTATCAAATAATTTTCCTGAAAAAGTATACTCCAAAAAGCCACATTGGATTCATTTTTTATTCATCCTAAGTTCTAGAATATTGTTGCCTTTACAACATGAAAATCAATTCTCTAGATAAAGTCTTAATCAGTTTATAAATTTTGACCATGAAATCGTACTCCCTGTTTTAAGTAGTGCCAACTTTCCTCGGTAACAGATCTCTCTGTGTTATGAGCCTACCACTTATTGCTCATATTTGATTTTTCAAGGCTCTGTTGAATGTTCTGAATGCTTCCTGACATCACAGAGAACAAATCTCTAGCTGGCCCAAGGTCTTGGACCTGCAGGCTTATCTAAGTGTTCTGCATCAAGAGGTCTTTCATCAATCTCCCTTTGCCTAAACTCTGCTTGAGTGTTATGTCACTTTGAAGTCATTGACCTTGACCATGGACTCTTCAAATGCTTAAGAAGAGAGGAATGCTATATTCATATGTTGTCATGCAGAAAGACTTTCTTTGTCCACCGTCCCTTACCAACAGCATGCAGGTCAGGGGCGGGTCTGTTTCCTAGTTCCAGCTGTGCAGCCTTCTTCTGTCTCTCTCGATTTCAGTGTGATGACTTCTCCCTTATAGGGTTCACGCTCCACAGGGGTAGGTGTGCAAGTCTGAAACAGAACATTTCATTTTTCTCATGTGATTTGTTTATTGACTTCTTGAGTTCAAAGCTAAGTGCAGCTCCCTTAATGAGAAAAAAAGAATCTCGTGAATTTATCATGTGCCTTCTACCTTCTTTCCCTTTCACAGAAAGTCCTGGCAACCTCGGGTACCTATATTGCCCCACTCTGCCGGTGTTAATCTGAGTCAGACAAAAGCCCAGGAAGCATTTTCTAATGATCATTCTTTCCACTGCAGCTTTCACTGGGGCCTCTGACACATCCTCACACCCTTCAGAGTTCTATTACCATTTTGTCCTTTCAAACATTCTAGACATCTGTATTCTCAAAGTACTTTGTTGTACCTCTCCTCAGACTCATCATTTTGTTTCAGATCCTAGCAATTTTTGTGGGGGTTTTTCCCCCCGACTGCGGCCGTGCGTAACAGGCCTTCCACAGAATCTCACATCGCTAACCATGCCTCTCCAGTGACCAGCTGCGCTTCAGAACCCTAGGCTGGACTCGACTAGAATTAATTCACTGCAAGAGACGAGTTTTGCAATCTGGACTTTATAAACGAAGGAATTCCCGAGAAGCAACTAAAAAGCGTACTGTTTGTAAACATGCACGTAAATTCACTGACAAGCAAGCGGCAGCCAATCACGGTGACCGCCGGTGTAGGCTCCAAAACCCGACTGCCTGCCTGTGCTGTGTGGTTCCCTCAGCTGTGAACGAGGAACAACAGTAGCATCTATTTTACAAGGTGGCTGTGACGATTCAATGTTGAGAGGATTAAATATAAGGAAAGCATTTAGAATAATGCCTAGCATATACTAAGCTCTTTAGAACTACATATATATGTGTGTAGGTATGTGTGTGTATTACACACACAAATAACAAATTATTATGGGTCTTATTAATTTGACCCCCCAAATTAATAGATTGTAGCAATCAACAAAGTCAGGTTTGGAGTAAGACAGATCTAAGATGTAAATTTGTATTCTAGCCTTGCCATTGATTAGGTGTGGGAAACTGGCAAGCTAATAAACCCATCTGAGCCTACTCACTCATCTATGAAATGGAGGGAATAAAACCCTTCTCCCAGATGCATGAGATTTCCAGATACAAAGCACTTTCCTTCACTCATTCAATAGTTATTTATTGAGCATACACAGCCCCAGGCACTGGGGATAAAGCAAAGAAAAAGTCAGAAACTGTCTCTATAGCTGTGGAACTTGAAGCACGGCATTGGGTGCACACAGATCACTCAGTCAGAGGGTGGACCCCCGCCCTCTGCCCACCAGTCCGAGCCTCTGTCCACTCTCCGTGTCTGGTTAGGTGCTTTGTGAGACTTCCATTTGGGCTCGCTATCTATTCAGTCTTTTTCTTCCCCCTGGGTCCTGTTAGCATCTCGAGGAATGAAGCGCCAGCCTCCCGTTTCTGTCCCCAGCGCCCAGACACTGCAGTTGCCTGGGGCCGATCGACCCCTGAAACTGTAAACTCACTTAATACCCTGCTCTCTGACCATATCCTCCCTTTCAGGTCCTTGGTCTCTGTGATTTTTCCTCTCCTGGTTTACTTTTCAAGCCAGACTGTATGATGTATCACTTAAACCTAGGGTGACTGTATAATTTATCATCCAAACTGGAACACTTTTAAGAGTGTAAAGGGTACTAAATGTAATTAACAGGCATAATGAAGGACCGGCCAAATAAATCAGAATTTATTTCCACCTTCCTTCAACTCCTCTCTTGCCTACAATCTAAGGGGTTCTGCCTTTCTCTCTCTTCCTCTGGCATTTGCTCTCAGCAAAAACCTGTGGCATATTTCAGTTCAACTAACAGCATTTTCCACAGCCACTTTCTCCCTAGCGAGAGAGTGATGTAAGTGGGCAGGTCTTTGTGTCACTTGCCTTCGTGCTGTGTGTCCCTAATCAGCTCCTGCTTCATCTCCCTTCGTCCCCAGCAGTTCCTTTGAAATTTTACTGCATGTGGTTTTCATCTGTCACTTTTCCGCCTCACCTTGGTACTCTTTGGGAATTGGTGGCCAACACCAATGATTTCGGCAGAGCCATCAAGCCCAGGGCCCCATCTCCGCATTCAGAGGTGGCCTTGCTCCAGAAGCTGGTTGGTGCCTCGAAGGGTCCTTGCTCCGACCCGGCTGCAGGCTCAGGAGTAGTAAGTACAGGACTCAACGCAGGAGGAGCAGCGTCCTTCCTGGTTTTTCTGCCAGGGCCGTGGCTTCGCCCATAGGGAATACGCACCCTTCTTTTTTTTTGCCTGAATATCTCCAATTTATGTTCTATAACTTCGCAGGTGATCATCAGTCCAAGAATCTTTAGTCGTCCCTGCCACATCCACTACCACACTCACCACTGCTTTCTGTAACAGTTTACTTGTCTGTCTCCTCCAGGAGACTTGAGGCCGGTGTACCGCTCTGTTTCTCCATAACACGTACTCAATAAACAGCTGATCGATTCCCACTAAAGATATGAGGGGAAGGAGAGCCCCCACTGAGCTTTCTCTCCTCTTTGGGTGGGTTGTCCTGGCCTAGGCTGACTCAGTTTCCCCCATATTCCTTCGTTGCGCTTCGCCAGTATCTGGTCTGCAGGCCTCCCTTCTCCTCGGCCGGCTGCCCCGTGTGGGCCGCGGCCTCAGCTCCCCGGTGGTCTCCGAACCTCTTCCTGGCTGCTTAGCCACTGAACTAGCAATGCTGTTAGGCAGACCTTCGCTCGGCTGGTCACTCTGGTCACACTGACCATTAGATGTCTCTGACTTGACTGGCCAAGGCTCATCTGCACACAGTCCCCCTCCTCACCTGCCTCAGAGACTCTAGGTGGGCGGGGCCTGGTTTCCTGCCGGAATAACTACTCGGGTCCACACTGCAACCTCGTAAGTAAACCAGCCCTCTCTGAGGAGTCTGACTGTCCCATACTTCACAGTCTTTCCCTTTAATAGATAGATTGACAGAAATTAACAACCATTTAAGTTCTGGTCTCAAGCCTTTCAGCTCTTTCAATCTTTTAATTTTTTTTTTTATCCTCAGAGGTGGATTACATAAGCTCTTTAACTCTAGAGTCACTTCTCGTTTGCCTTTGTTCTGCCTATGCCTCCGGCACTGTACGCTATGCGGATTTTAGAACCTCAGTAGTTGTTCACTGTGACAACATGGAAAGGCGATGGCACTCGTGCTGCACAGTCTTCAGCCGTCACTGTATTGTTCAGAAGTTCAATTGTACATTTGCTTCCTAAGTAGATGTAACCTACAACTCTGAGGAAAAGCAGTCTTGCTACTTCTTTCTAGTGACGATGACAAACCTCCATCTGAAGTGTGAAGTGCAGGACCAGAGCTTAGTACTCATAGGTGATCCTAGTAGTTGGGGGCCAAAATAAAGTGGGCTTCTTTCCTTGGTATCCCAGCTGGGCATAGTTATAACAGGGACTCCAGCCCCAGTCTTCAGCTAAATGTGTACCTTATTCTTATAGGACATCTAAGCAGCATAAAAAGCACAGAAAGGCCAGGATGAAGCATCAGAGGGTTCTGGGTTGAACAAAGTAAACATTATCTTCTCTTCTTGCCTTCTTCTCTTTGTGTTCTGGTTTTCTTCCTACCTTGCTTGTCGCCGTTCTTAGGCTTCTTTGCTAGTTTCTTCCCTCCTACTCTACTCAAGCTTTGAAGGTTGACAGTCCTAGAGGTGCTCTATTCAAGTGTCCTTTCTTCTCTGTCTAAATCATCTTGGTGGCCTCAGACTTTTAAACTATAGGTTTAAAATCTATATGCCATAACACTCAAATTTTATGTCTAGCATTGATCTCTCTTAATTTCTAGACTCCTTTATCCAAGTGGCTAATTGACCTCATTACAGATGTGTTAAAAGCATGTCAGACAGAACTATAACTTAAGCACCACAAACAACAGTTGAAACAAAAGTAGGATTTAAGCTCTTTGAGACCAGGGACTGCTGTTTTATTTGCGCCTATAACCTCAGGACCTAGACTACTGCCTGGTGCTCAACCAAACATCTCTTAAATGAAAGAACATTTCTTGACTGTATGACTTCTTAGAACTTTTTATATGATATTGGGCAACAGAATCACCTGAGAGTAGCATTATCTACAATTATTTGACGGCTTTCTTTAGGAGTATCTCAAAACACTAGTGTCCTGAGAACACACCTGAGAAAGGCTGGTCTGGGTTGTGCCATCTTCCCCCACAGTACAGAGTGATATCTATCTTGATGCTATCACAATCAAATAAAATGGCTTGAGGGGAAAACCATGTGACAGGCACTCCTAAGTCACATAGAAAACCTAGACGGCGCCTTGCCTGTTAGGATGGTGGGGGTTTACAATTTCTGTTCTGGGTATTTAATGATGATTGTCATTGTGATGAGTTAATAGACAACAATGAGAATGGTATCACAATACACAGTGCTATGAATAAGTATTACTTGTAATTATCATTATACCTGTGTAATTGAAAAAAATCCTTTTTGGTTAGATGATCTGGAGAAAGAAGAAGCTTTCAGTTGACAGAAAATTTAACTGTATTGTCTGCAAAGAGAGAGAAGTGCTGGGATGCTAGATTTTTCTGAGACTGGAAAGACCAATTGAGAAGAACCTTGGACCTCCAAGGCAGTACTGATAACATGCTGCCCACGGAGGCTAAGATACTAAAACATCAATAAAGACAACGGACCTTCAGAATACCAAACAGTCGACACTGGCGCATACTGAACAGTCCAGCTGAACAGTGACTCCCTGAGAATGGAACCCGTGCCTGCCCAGTGAACTCAGAGGGACCCGGTGCACTCTGAACCGAACCTCCAGAGACAGTAAATCACTAAGACATGAGTAACAAAGGTGATCCATAACAGTGAAACTATGCATTTATGCTAATGTTTTACAATCCACCAAATGTTTCTATTTAAACCTTGAAATACCTTGTGAGCTATTTCTCAAGGTCTGTGTGACAAAGCTGGGTCCTCTCATTTTGGAGCTGGCTCCTCTGGCAAGCTTGCCAGTCTGGAGTAACTGAACCCCACCTGCAGGAGGGAAGACTGAAGAGCTGATATCCTGAGGATGGGGCAGGTGGCTATGTGTCTGGGTAGGGATTAAACTTTGCGATCAGTATACTGCAGCGGTTGAAGTTAAAGGGATTAGCTTTGGAGGGAGAAAAATCTGAGTTCGAGTTCCAATGCTGCCACTTAGTGACTATGTGATCTCCCTAAACCTCAATTTCTTACTCTATAAAATAGAGATACCACTACAGTGGTGTGCTGGTAAATGTTAACAACCAGCTCTGTTTTCCCTTTTCTTACTACTCCAAAAGCCCGGATGTACAGCACTTGCCTACTTCTGTAGTGTAAATATTCCCACCACGGCTGACTGCCAAACTACCAAAGTGACATCACTGAATGAGGAGTTGGGAAGAGATACACACAAGTGAGCCAAAATGAGTTGGCTCCAACATATGTAACATCTTTTATAATTATTAGCAAACAATCTGAGGAAATTAAGATTATGTGGCAGTTGAAGGTAAGTCTTAAATTATTTTCTCTGAGCTACCACATTGAGAAAGACATCGACAAACTGTCATTTCAGAAATGGAGAATACCCATTTTAAAGACCAGATCAGCCATATACTTAATTTTACCCCATCTAAAAGGCAAATTATGCTTATAATTGCAAAGATACAGTTCAGTTTAAAAGCTTTGGCAGCAATATTCTGAAACAGTGCATTACTTCATAAAGCTATTCCTCTTTCTCTATAAAATGCAATCTGATCCTTACTTTCCAAAATAGATTAGGTCGCTTATTACTGAAAAAAAGAGAAAAAGAGATGACTTAAGGAATGTCTGTACTTCCAAATTTTAGTGAAAATTATATAACTCTAAACAAACAATAATTTTAGAAATAATATCCATTTGAATTTAAAGAGCTATATTTTTTGGTAAAGCATTAAAATATGTAAATTGATTTTTTTTAAAAAAATGCTCTTGAACATCTAAATTGCTGTTATTTTTTCTCTTCTTTTATTTTTTCTTCCTGCATCTCTTAAGCTCTTCCTTAAGTGACTTTATATATAACTGAAATATGTATTTTATTATGTTATATTTATCAAATAAAGTTTGATGCCTCATCTTCTGATTTAAATATTTTCCCTTAAGGATTAGCTGCTTAAATGTTAAAATAAATAAAGTAACAATTCCCCAAAGCTGTCAAATTGGATAAAAATGTCATTTCTTTCCTTTGAAATTCCTCACAATATCTGATAATAGTGACAGCTGCATGGCATGATGCTGATAAGTTTTATTAAGTAATAAAATGATGGACAAGAATCGAGCTCACAGATAACCCCACTACTTGAAATGAGTCAGGGAAAGTCTTCTGAATAAATTAATTTAAGTTTCTATGGGCTTTGAAACTATAGTCCTGTTCCTTTCATTTGCAGTTCATTTATTTATCTAATGCCTACTATGTACCAACAACAATATATAAGATACTGTCCTCAGGAAATTAGCACTCTCGTCGGAAGACCAGCCGAGCTCTGGAGCTGGCAAACGCGGAGGTGTCTACAATCTGTGCTTTGGGAATCCAGAATGTAAGTGGTGAATCTTCTTGGGAAGGGTAACAGGTGAGTAGGGGAAATGGTATGAGCTGTTTCTGCTTGCCTTCAAATACTTATCCTCACCCGCAAAGAATCTGAATATTTTAAATGCAAACCAAAGCTCTAATAACCTCATGTGAATTTAAAATCAAGAATTCCTAACAACTGGTTTCTTAACCTTATTGTGATATTTTTCTTCTATAAAATTATCTTTGTCTAATAGAGAAAAAAATATTTGAAATGTCTCTAGACAATCCCCAAACCTCATTTTACCCAATTTATTTGATACTGTTTCCACATCAACACTTTTTAAAATATGCATTTCCTCATGCTTTGAATTTCACAATCATGTTCTTTTTCTTGCTCTACAGAGGTCCCATGATACAGTGGGAATCAGAAAGGCCTTATCACAATCCTCCTACGCTAGCTCTTATGTTGACTTACTGCTTAGATCAGGGTAAGTTATTTAATTTTGCTGACACTCAGCTTTTTAGTCTGTGAAATGGGGGTGATAACATCTATCACATGGCTTGTTGTACAGATTAATTAAAATAATAAATATAAACTACCTAGTAAAGTGCCTGGCAGATAGTAAGTGCTTGGAACAACATATGATAATAATGATAACAGCTATTACTTATTGTTACCGTAAAAATAATAATGCACTAGAATGCCTAAAAAGTTGGTGATATCAAAAGAAAATACTAAGAAAATAAAATAACTCACAAAATTGATAGTTAACTCTTTAAAAAGTTATGTTGACATTAAGGTCGCCAACAAAACATAAAACGATTTGAAAAGGAGAGCTGATAAAGCCAATCATTTGGTGCTCTCTGCTGCCTCATTTTCCAAACCAGAGGAAGGCTTAGGCAAAGTCAGCCTTTTAAATACAGTCCATCACATGTTCCCAGTTAGTCTAGCATCCCTGCTGGTGAACGATTGTAACTGACCACCAAAAACAGCCCCGCCTTAGATCCACTTCAAGTGTTACCTAGTCCTATTGATCCTCCCCCCTTCTGATTTTCACCCCTTTCTGTTCATCCTTGGATTACTACTACTGCTTCATAAATGAACTAGCTGCCATAAATAAATGCCACCAATTCAGATTAATTTTTTGGGAGACTATTACTTTTCAATCCCATGTGCTATCAATCCCATGAACTTATTTAACTCAATCTTTATGATTTAGAGTATCGTTTATTGCTTAATTATAGCTTTTGGAGTCAGATAACCAGAGTTTATGTTTTGGCTGTGGCATACATGAGCTGTGTGACTTGGATAAGTCTCTTGATTTCTTGAAGCTTCGGTTTTCTAATTTTTAAAATGGGAAAGATAATCCTTCCTTCCCTCACAAGGTTGTTACAGTGGCGGAACCCTTAGCACCATGCCTTGTATTCAGTAAACAGTGTTACTGTTATCTATTGCATAAATGTTTAGAAACACACAGGATTCTTACAGTCACTACCTACCTGTCACTTGTCAGTGTCAGCATTTACAAATTAACCCCCAACAAAATGAACCATCACCTTAAACATTTTGACTAACATATATGTATAAAGAATTGTAGCATCCTGAGAATTTAAAGCAGCCTAGAACACTTGTTTACTTAGTCAAAGCTTTAGGAAGTTTTTAAAAATTTGGATGAATCTTGTATAATGGACTCTGAGAATCCACAAGTTAAAATGTTCACAAGACATCAGAAGAGGATTTAGACTACAAGACCCAAATAAAATGAATCAAACCACCCAGAGAACTATTGAAAAAGAAAAGTATATTTTAAAATGGAGAGAAGAGAGAGAAGCCTTAGAACTAATCCAAGGGTTGCAAACTCCAGTGTCTAATGGTCCAGTGAGAAACATTAATGAGTAAAGCCGTCGGAGTGAAAATCAGAGAGGCAGCCTCTGCAAGACTTGGCTACCCAGTTCTGGCTTGTTGTTGCCATGCAGGATTGAGGACACAAGTTTCCTCTTCTGCCCCAAATAAAGCAATTCAGATGGCTTTAATCTGAAATTTTCTGACATGTTAGTATATTTGGTGAAGTAAAATTTTAAAACTGTTTAAACCACTGTGTGAACTACACGAAAACCCATGACATATTAAGAACAAATATCTCTTTTATAATAACAGAGTTATGACAAACAAAAACTTGAGGAAAACTTTGTTTTCATCAAAAGAGGAAAACAAAGAAACAGAACTAACATTTATTGACCTTCTACTGTGTGCCTTGCATTTTAAAATTTCATTGAGTTTTACAATTTGTTAAGGAGGAAGCATAGTCATTTTCTAGACGAGGCCACTGAGTCCAAGGATGAGAGAGACACGTGCTCTTGGCCTCACAGCTCATAAATGGAAGGGCAAGGTAGATTCATATTTAGGTCTACTGGACCCCAAAATGCCACCATTGGTGGTCATTAAAATGCATCCTCAGACATTACACTACACGGAATATAATTTTTCAAGGGGTCATTGCTAAGCTCTGAACTCCATCCCCATGTTTGAATGGGGGCCATGCCTCCCGCAGCTGTTCCAAGCCGATGACCAGAGACTTGGCTCAATTGCTGCCTGAAGGCCTTGCTTAACTTGTCATAGACTGTATGACAGTTGAGGATACTCTGCCTCCTTTTCTCTCCTCTCCTTTACCAGGGTTAGACTTGAATTGCAGTCAGAGGGCTCTTCCGGCCTTTCCTGGCTCCCTTCCATTCTCTCTCACAGATGTTTTCCCTAATAAAAATGTCACACCTTTATCCACCTGGGTGTCTGCTTCTTGGAGGACCCTGACTAACCCAATTGCCAAAAGCTTCCAGAAGTCCTAAATTTGCCTGGGAAAACCTGACTTGGTCCATCAGGAAACCCTGAATAGACACCAATTGACAAGGGGAAGTGCAACCATCTAATAATGATTCTTTCTTTGAAAACCGGTATTTGTCTCGAAACTCTCATATCAATCCTGACACCCCAGGAATGTGTTAAATTGAGTATATGTGACAACAACACTGACAAGATCCAGGAGCGGGTGACAGCCCAACCCATGGTAACTGTCACATAGGCACAACTCACCTGGTCTCGCTGCTTGATCCGTTTGTAAAGGTATTCAGCAAATGGTTTGCGGGGAACATACTTCCCATCTCCTGCTGTAACACTGAAAACTCCAGCTTCATATACCACTTTACCTCTGGAAATAGTCACTACGGGCACCCCATGGCAAACCATGCCTTCGAAGATGTTGAAGTTCACAGCCTGATGATGAGTTTTTGCTGAAATAGTCCTGTTGGTAAAAACAAAGAAGCTTCAGATCATGACCCACTCATCCGACAAGTATAAAATATTAAAAGAATGACTTAGAAGAAATTTTAGCAACTCCATTAAGACATAGCTTTATCATTAGAACAAGTGACTTTAAGAATAGAACATAGCATTAACATTTCATTACAAAGTAATTACATTTTCTGAGAGAAAAACCCAATAGATCATTCTTTATGGTGATTAATGAGGATGGAGTGGGTAGAGAGAGGGCACTGTCTCTCGGGTTTAAATTTTAAATTAGTTTTTACTTATGTGTTTAAAGAACAAAATATTAATTATAAAACATTTCCAACACAGATGAGTCTGATGAACACACTGACCCCATACCCAGCTCTATAGAATTTTAACTTTTCGCAGATGCCTCTGAGGCTTCCTCAATACCACTCCCCAAATACCATTCTTGTTCCTCCCTTCGCAGAAGCAACTGCTAATTTATAGTTATCAAATTGAATTTGAGACTTATCAAGGAAAATTATATCTTGAATTTCACTCTCTTGTCTGTGACGAAACTTGAAATTTGAGGTAATAAAAATAAAATAGGTTAGAATATAATCTCTTAGTATATTGTATGTCATGCATTTGCATATTCATCAGCGCTCTCAGTAATTTATTAATAGTCTCCCCTTATCCGCGGTTTTGCTTTCTGTGGTTTCAGTTCCCACAATCAATTACAGTCAAAAATATTAAATGAAGAATTCCAGAAATAAACAATTTATGAGTTTTAAATCTCGTGCCATTCTGAATGGTGTGATGAACTCTCACGCCATCTCACTTTGTTCTGCCCAGGATTCAAATCATCCCCTTGTCCGGCATCTCACACTGTATACACCACCTGTCCATAAGTCACCTAGTAGCCGCCTCAGTGATCAGATCGACTGTCATGATATCGCAGTGCTATTGTTCTGGTAATCCTTCTTTTACTTAATAATGGCACCAAAGCACGAGAGTAGTAATGCTGGCAATTCAGATATGCCAAAGAGAGAGTGCATCCCTTAAGTGAAAAGGTGTGTATTTATAGGGAAAACAGTATCTGTAAGGTTCAGTGCTACCTGTGGTTTCGGGCTTCCACTGGGGGTCTTGGAATGCATCCACCTCGGATAAGGGGGCACTATTGCACTTTCAATCATACACAATATGATTGATGACTTCCAGGCTGGATATTTGGAAATTGTGGATGTCATCTTCCCCTAAATCTCATTAAACAGGAAAAGTGGTGGTGGGGGGCGGGATCTGGCAGCAGTGAATAATATGAGCATAATCTGAATTCTAGTCAAAATTTCTACAAGTCTTTTTAGGAATGGATTTAAGAGAGGTACTTTGCTAAAAACCCCATGGCTGGGTCAAAGGAAGAGCAGAAAAAAGCTCCTGCAAACCTAATCTGGAAGGGTGGGACTGGGAAACTGACAGTTTTTGTGTATTGCAGTCCTAGAAATGAACGAGACAATGCTGGCCTGGTCCTCAGCTCTGGAATCTCATACCCAACTACCTACTTGTTTTCCACTCCTAACAGGTCCAAACAGAATTCTTGATTTTCAATGCCTACCCCTGCAACTCAAGTTTGCTTCTCCCTTAAGTTTCTCATTTCAGTAAATGACACCACTATCTACTTTTTCTCACCTGTCAAATCATCATCAAGTCTGTTGGTTCTACCTCCAAAAATATAAATCTCAAACCTGCCAACTTCTCTCCCTCTCCATTGCCCCATGCCACCATCGTCTCTCATCTGGAAGACCGCAACACCTCTTACTGGCCAATTTGTTACCATTCTTACCCTCCGACACTCCTCACCACTCTTCACAAGGCTGCTTAAATGATCTTTTTAAAGCAAAAGTCATCTTCCTCCTTGAAACTCTAAATGGCTCCAATCTGTTCCTGGAGAGCCAAATAATTGTTTAAAAAAAAAAATGATAGAAATAATAAAAAAGGATCTACTCCCAAGAAGAAATTTCACCATGGAAAAGAACAAAAGAAGCTTCCTGTGTGCATCAGGTAGATACTTTATAACATCTTATTTCATCTTCATTATACCTCTTCAAGGTAGAGAGTATTTTCTACACTTTACAGGTAAAGAACTTGAGATTCAGACAGGTTAAGTAACTTGTCAAAAGACATGACTACATAGTTTGATAAGACGGAGATTTTTTATATTTTTTAAATTAACATTATTTTTGAATTAAATGAACATACTATCCCTTTGTAGTTACACCCATAACCCCTAGAAACCATTGATCTGTTTTTTATCACTATAGCTTTCTCTTTTCCTGAATGTCATGTAAATGGAATCATAGATTATATAACATTTTGAAACTAACTTTTTAAATTTGGAATAACTATTTTGAGGTTTACCCAAGTTGTTGTGTGTATTAACAGTTTGTTCCTTTTTCACTGCTGAGTAATATTCCATTGTGTAGATTCGCCACAGAGTATCCATTTACCTAATGAAGAACATGTGGGTTGTTTTCAGTTTTTGATGATTATAAATAGAGCTGTTATAAGCATTTATGTGCATGTTTTGTTTGAACACCTCTCTAGTGTAAATACCCAGGAGTGGAATCACTGAGTCATGTGGCTGGAGCTTTCAGGGGCCTTAGGAACCAACTTACTGATATAAAGTTTAAAAGATGAATAGGAGGTAGGTCGATACGAACACAGCAGCGATAATTTCAAACTCTAAGAAGGAAAGGTAGTGATTGAATAGTAAGTAATGTTACTGCAGTAAGAAAATGAATAAAATATCTAAAGGATTACTAAGTAAAGAATGAGTTATGATGAGCTATGAGTTGGCGATGAAAGATACAAACTCAAAGAAAACCTAGGAAATAATATAGAAGAACTTCAGATCTTCGGATTAAAGTAGCTTTTTATGACCATCACAATCTCTCTGTGATGGTATTTCCATAGCCTGGGCTGCTGCTTTCCCACATATTACAGCAACACTGATCGATGGCAGGAATTCTTGGGCTTGTAGAATGTTACATAAACATGTCTGGACTGACACATTAGTAATGCTGCTAGATAGAGAAAGTAGAATGCATAAAAATTCATGCTGAAATGGTTATTGACATAAAAGAATGAGAGGCGAAAAAATGAAAACCCTAAGTCATAAAACTATTTTTCTTAGTGGGAAGGTAAGAGTTACTGATGTTCTTAGGAAAATAATCTAACACAAGAAAAAAAAAATCTATACGCAAAGACTGTCATTACAATATTGCCTAAACTATTCAAAAACTGAAGCATAACAATTTTCCAATGACTAGGCAATGAAATATTGGGCATCTATGAATGACTAGTATTAAGAATACACTAGGAAAGCAAAAAAAAAAAAAAAGAAGAAATTATATAATATTAAATGAAAAAAAGTATAGAAAGTACGTACACTATATCTACAAAGAAAACACACGTATGAAGAAAAATATAAAAGGAAATAAACAAAGTAAGGTGTTTTTTGGGCTAGGAAAAAGCAAATATTAAAAAATATATATCTGAAAACAAAAGGTTTGTGACAGCAAAATATCAAATCAAATTTCTCTTCCTCAGCCAAATAAAGGTCATTCATTACCTTGACTTTCTCAGCCTTCAGATTAGCAAGAGAAAGAGGGCAATTAAGCAACATCTAAGCTAGTCTTTCTAATAGGCATTATGTAAATGAGGTCAAATTAACACAAAATGTAAATTCTGGGCATTATCACCAGCAGCAAAAAAAAAAAAAGTGCTTCCACTTTCACATTCAAAGGCATCTGACAGGGTGTCATCCCTCCCTCAACTTCTCCCTTCCAGCCAGAGCTGCAATTGTCTAACTTCAAGAGCTTTCACATTTCTTCTTTACCCCAAATGTCCCCCTCTCTGTCATGGCTGCCCCTCTCCCTTCCCTAAGACTCCATTCAAGAATCTCAGTCCCATGTCAGTTACATCTCAACAAACCTTGGAAAATGAAAAGAAAAAAAAAAAAACCAACAACCCTGGTACCTAGAAGCTGACCCTGATGACCTAGGGCATAACCGACCATTGTTCTTCTGTGGATTAGCATGATCTGAATGTGTCGTAATAGTCTCTTGATAAGTCCCCCTTTTCCTACTGGGCCGCACACTTTAAGGAAGAGACCATGTAAGCAGTGGGACAATGGGGAGTGCGTCTCGCAAGAGGAACCCTGGTAGTTACGTAGGGTACTTGCCTCCGAAAGACAAATCTGAGCTGGAGAAAATAATTACCTCCAAACATTTGAACATCTATTTTTGAAAAGAGTTGTATTTGCTCCCTGATGCTGCACATAGTAAAACTAAAACAAATGGGGATACATTACAAGAAATCAATTTTAGTTCAATATATTATATAATCTTCAACAAATAAATAATGAAAGAACCATATACTTTTGTATATTTGTTTTACATTTTAGAATAAATGAAACCCAGCTATTGGAAAAAAAAAAAGAGAGACCATGTTGTTTTATCCCCAGAACACAGTAGGTGCTTAATAAATATTTATAAAATGAACGGAAAAAGAATCGCACAATTTTCCTATTGGTTTTATTTCTTGCCTCCACTGTCCCCTGGGATGTGATTGTGTTTTAGAAATAGAACACTGAATTAAATGAGCTGTAAGCATCCAATTGCAAATTTCTGTTGTGTACTTAACCCTTCTGGCAAGCTGTACAAGTTCATTAGTACTAACTAAAGAACTGAAGTAAAATTGTTGTAATTATCATTCTTAGCTGCATCTTATTATAGGAAACACTAGTTTGTTGATATCTAGCAATACTTAGCAATACCAAGATTGTTAATACTAATAAGTATGCAGCTAAGTATTATTACCTCATGTCCCAGATGATAATGCTAAAATGGAGCTGTATACGAACTTGTCCACAGAGTTTGATACTGAATGAACCCAGAGTGGTCAGAGTCACTTTCACGTTTTGAGAATACCGCTATATTTGTAACCATACTATAAAAAGGTTAAAAAAAAGTT